GGGTACCGGTATGGCGGAGTAGGTAGGTAGTAACACTTGTGACACACTAGAAGGCGATGGTGACACCAGCGTGCCTGTGGGAGGGTAGAGACGGGGAGGAGAGGCTGGTGGCGGTTACTTCTTATGAACGAGCTGCGTCGACCCACAACAGTAGGACTCGGAAAGGCGATAGAGCTTCGACGCTGACGGGCCATTGGGAATACTATAGACGACCTGAAAGCACGAATTTTACGAGTAGATGAGCGTTGAGGTGGGCTACCTTGTGAGGGAATCTCTCCTTGACGTATTGGGAGGTATAGGGCTCAAGTAGGGAGAGGTGGTCGTGCTGTGAAATGGAGTGGGCTGCATCGTATGGGAAGAGGTTGGGGAATGCTGATGACTCGACGACGGAGGCATGCGTTTCAAAACGGACATATCCTGACTATCGCGCGCCCAGGAGTCAACCAGTGCCGTGATAGCAGTGCAGCTAACATCGTGGTATGAGGAAGGATGAATTATTTGTTTATTTGTTTGACTGGTTAAGGCTGTTGATGTACGTTTCACTTGTGACTCGTATAATCTACCATGTCAGACGTGTATAATTCTGTTTCTACTAAAAGATGATGGAGGACTCCCCATTGGAATTGAACCGGTTCATGTCGATCTGTTGCTAAAACTAAACGATTTCGCATATATCTGACCCCAGCCTGAGTGTAAATTTACATGTACATTTATACCAGTAGAAGCAGAGCCTCTAGAGGGTCTCAGCAACACTACTCCAAACAGCATCGAATATGATTGCAAGCGATGGAGAATACAATTCGAATACTGGAATTTGAATACTTTGCTTTCACTAATACGAAGCCATTAGTCTGATGATCACCAGTAGTAATGCAAAATCTGATTCGGTATCTCACCAATGGCTGTAACGGGGGAGCTTGCGACGCTGCTGGGTTACAGTCCTTCACCGCGGCCTGTGGGGGAAGGAACCCTCCTAGCCCTAGCGAGGATGAAGGTGGTACATGGATTTTCCATACCACACCATCCGTAACTCTCAGTGGACGAGTATCAGCCCGTGAGTGAAGATGTTGCCAGTGATGGCGTTCCCGAGTGGAACGATCTCATGTGAGATCCGCATGTAACAAAAGGTGACCTAAGAATGTCCTCAGCGTCCCCCGATTCGACACAGCGTCCTCAAGCCCCAGCTATCACGGCCGTAACCAGAGCTACTGCGGTGAGCACGCTTGCCTGCTACGCTCATGGAGCCCCTCTCAGCTGGGGATTCCTTCGACGGGTCCACTCGTGCTGAAAGCCCTCGAGATCCGTCTACGACTGCTAACGACAAGCGCCGACTAAGGGTATCCAAATCATCACCATCATAGCCTCTATGTCGTATAGCAGAGTCTAGTCCGAGAGTTCACAGCGAGGGCAATGCGTGGCGTTGACTGCTGGCAGGTGGACCTCCACAGTGGGGCTTTCCACAACGCCATGTAAGCCTCTCCGACTTAATAACACAGTGGCTTCTGATTCAAGACGACCATCTTTCCAGGTACCAACTCGATAGGGACCTCAGACGGTTCATCCTTGCTACAGATCAACCTGTACGCGCATGCCCACAGGTGACAGGTCCACATGGTCATCATCTACCCCCTATGCAGGTATCTTGTGATGTTGCCGATATAGTAGATATCCTCAGAGCCGAGGAGTCCCTTGTCACCCTAGTAGGTTATTCCCTCCTCTGCCCCTCATCCTTCCCCTTCACAGGAGTACCCGGCCCTTCAAGATGCCCTCCTGCCCTCCGACATGAGCCGTTTGATCCTCCTCCAGGTAGCCCCCCCAACCGACCCTAAAGGTTCCTCTCTTGCCCCCAGGTATACCATCACGGCCTCGAGGACATCGAAACAGTGGGTCTACTAGAATCATCTCAGCAGGCCCGAGAGACCTTTCTTGCTGCCCTCAACATCCTACAGTAAACCCAACCTCATCGGAGACCCGTCCAACTATCCGTTCAGAATCTACGCCCAAGCTGCCGCCGCCGGCTCTGATTGATGCTCCCATGCTGTTACTCAATGCCACGTTTCGTATCTTCTTCTTATTGCGTTGTCGAGCATATTGACAACCGAGTGAAAACACTATGCTAGTCCAAGTTGTATAGCCGCCGCTGTACTCTAAACTCACATACACGGGTTCTGACTTTGGACCGATGAGCGATCACTCAAGCTAAGGCAGTATGGAACTGACCCCATAGCTACATTGATATTCCTGTGAAGTTTGTCTACCGTTTGGGAAGTGTAGGTGTATATGAGTCAACTACGCCTTGTCGAACTTTGAGCTCATACGTATGTCTCGAATCATCTGCCAGAATTGCATCACCCACGCGCGATGTCCTCGTGAGTTGTACTCTGCGAGACTGTTAACTCGCTTTCATAGACGGAATTAATGTCACTATTTGAAGCGCATCACAAAACTGAGTGCCTCGTACGCTAATATGACGATCTTGCCACACCTGAGCTCCAAGTAAATGCCCTTACTAGGTGTTGAAACAGTAGCCTAGGGGATGTAAGCTGAAGACACTTCTGAATAATAAAGATGATACAGCCGAGCACACCTGTCGTTCTATCACTTATCAATCGCTACTATGTACATCAGAAAAGTGCCCAATGGAGTATATCAATCCAATCCTACCTTGGGCCCTCCATATTCAAGGTTTAATATCGAGCGAAAGCGGTGTGTGTGTGATTCGTTAAATAAGTTTCTCTGTTGTATAGGTACCATCAACTCGGAATGTATTTGTATGAATACTTACTAGTTCGATCGATACGAACTACACACAACTTCTACTCAGGTCGCCACTGTGCTTTTCAGAGTCTTTCCAACCACCCCCTCCCCAACTGTTGAACTCAAAGACACTCCTCTGGGTTAACCTCTGATTACTCAACAAAGGCGAGGTTATCTCGCCCTGTGGACAAAACTCATTGGCATGATGAAAGTAGTCATTTAAAAGGCTAAAACTGACCCCTCGGGATCCAATATGCATCGATGCGAGTCTAACTAAGCCGTGTTGTCGTATTAGGCGTTGGACTTTAAACTCACACACACACTCAACAAAGGCAAGGTACACCCTTCCCATCGATCGTTGACGGTGAAGATACTCAAACTCGCAGCAGAAGCCAACTTTGGTTCCACGAAGAACCTTCTCCGCCTCTCTATCTACCACCAAACCAGGGCACCAAACTGTAGTACACAACACTTGTTGAAAAATGCCGCAATAAGGAGCGCAAGACAATCTCATCTGCCGGGTGGCCACTGGGCACGTTATGAATCTTTCAACCCAACACTCCCACCTCGGTGACATCAGTTAGCGGTTAGCACGCATGCACAACAATAATAATATCATCAACTTTCATTCCTTGACATGATAAAGGCCCCAACACAGTTATGTCCCCATCGGCGGGAGCATACCCCCAAGATGGTCCTCCCAGCCCTCCTCCATCGGCGTCCCATGCTTCCGACCATGGCCCCCCTCAGGGCCACCCTCCACTGCGGTCCACCCCACAATATGGTCTTCCTCCGTCGGACCACCATGCCCCCTTCCCCTTCCCCTCTCCTCCTCAACAGTAGTAGTGCCTCCCTCCACGTGGTCCCTCACAAAGTCCGCCTCGCGATCTGGTCCCCTTCTCCCCTGGGGGCGTGGGTCCTCCATCCCCTCCCCAGCGACCAGCATATGGTCCTTACTCCAAGCCTCATACTCTCCCCTATGGGCCCTTCCCCTGGGCTGATCCTCGACAGTTGACGAACCCTCACCAACAGTCCCAGCTTGA